TCCTTTCCTACTTGTATCCCCGTGATTTTCTTTTGTTGTCTTATTGCTCTAGCTAGAACTTCAAGTACTATATTAAATGGATAAGAGTGGGCAGCCTTGTCTTGTCCTTTATTTTCATGGAATTGTTTTAAGTTTCTCTCAGTTTAATTTGATGTTGGCCATTGGCTTGCTATATATTGCTTTTATTATATTTAAGTACACATCTTATACCCTTATCTCTCTAAGACCTTTAACATGAAGGGATGTTGGATTTTGTCAAAAGCTTTTTCAGTATCTAATGAGATGATCATGTGATTTTTTCTTTCAGTTTGTTTATATGGTGGGTGACATTGATGTATTTTTATATATTATACCATCCCTGCATCTCTGAGATAAAGCCTACTTGATCATGGTGGATGATGTTTTTGATGTTATTTTTGGACTCAGTTTGGGAGTATTTTATTGAGTATTTTTGCATTAATGTTCATAAGAGAACTTGGTCTGAAATTCTCTTTCTTTGTTGAATATTTGTGTGATTTAGATATCAGCGTGACTGTGGCTTCATAGACATTCAATGCATTTGACAGTGTTCTTTCTATTTCGTTTTCTGTGCAATAGTTTGAAGAGTGTTAGTGTTAGCTCTTCTGGTAGAATTCTGCACTAAAAGAATCTGGCCCCAGACTTTGTTTGTTTGGTTTTTTTGTTTGTTTGTTTGGAGACTATTAATAACTTTCTACTTACTTCTATTTCCTTGGGGGTTATAGGACTGGCTAAATAGTTTACCTAATCTTGATTTAATTTTGGTAAGTGGTTTCTGTCTAGGAAACCATACATTTCATTTAGATTTTCCAATTTTGTGGAATTCAGGCTTTTGAAGTAAGACCTAGTGATTCTTTGAATTTCACCAAGGTCTGTTGTGATATCTCCCTTTTCATTTCTGCTTTTTCTTATTTGGATACTATCTCTCTGTCTCTTAGTTAGTTTGGCTAAGGGTTTGTCTGTCTTGTTGATTTTGTCAAACTAGCTGTTGATTTCTTGAATTCGTTGTATTGTTTTCTTTGTTTTTAACTGATTGATTTCAGCCCTGATTTTGATTATTTCCTGCCTTATAATCCTCTTTTACCTGTTTGCTTTCTTTTTTTCTCTCTCTCTAAGGATTTCATGTGTAATTTTAAATTGCTGATATGAGAACTTCCTAATTTCTTTATGGAGGCACTTAGTGCTATGGGTCCTCTTAGCACTGCTTTCATTGTGTTCCATAACTCTGGATATGTTTTTTGAATAGCCCCCACTCCAGTTGTTCAGAACCGACATGAAGACCAAGTGGTACATCTGCTATATATGTACCAGTAGACCCAGGTTCTACCCATGCATATTCTTTGGTCAGTGGTTCAGACTCTGAGAGCCCCAAGAGTTCAGGTTAGTCGACTCTATTGGTCTTCCTGTGGAATTCCTAACCCCCTGGGGCAATCTTTCCTTCTATTTTTCTGTAAAAGTCCCCAAGCTCCATCCGCTGTTTGGCTGTGTGTGTCTGTTTCTGTCTGAGTCAGCTGCTGCCTCTACATGTGATATGTCCTTTTAACTGGACTGCCTTGTCTAACCTCAGTGAGAGAAGAAATACCTAGTCTTGCAGAGACTTGAAATGCCAGGGTGTGGGATACCAGGGGGCTCCACCTGCTCAGAAGAGAAGGGGAGAGGAAATGGGGGCAGGATTGTGGGAGGGGTGACTCCTCAGCACGGAGAACCAGCTGGATGTAAAGAATAAGTCAAAAGATAAAATTTTAAAAAATGGATACGTAGTGCCTTCATTTTCATTAAATTCTATAGATTCATTAAATTCATTAAATTCTTTAGTTACTTTTTTCCCTGACCCAGAGATCACTGAGTAGAAAGTTGTTCAGTTTCCATGAGCATGTAGGCTTTCTGGTGTTTTTGTTGTTAAAGTCCAGCTTTAATTCATGTTGTTCTGATAAGATATAAGGCATTATTTCGATTTTCTTGTATCTCTTGAGTTTTGTTTGTGACTGACTATATGGTCAATTTTGGAGACGTATCCATGAGATGCTCAGAAAAAGGTATATACTTTTATCCTTGGGTGAAATATCCTATAGATGTCTAATAGGTCAATTTCATTCATAATGTCTGTTAGTTTCATTATTTCTCTCTTTAGTGTTTGTCTGCTTGATCTGTCAATTGGTGAGCGTGGGTTGTTGAAGCCTCCCATTTTTAATGTGTGGAGTTTGATGTGTGATTCAAGCTTTAGCAATGTTTCTTACACAAGTGTGGGTGCCATTATGTTTGTGACATAGACATTCAGAATTGATATATCATCCTGGTAGATTTTTCCTTTGATGAGTATGAAGTGTCCTTCCCTATCTCTCTTGATTAATTTTAGTTCAAATTAATTAGATATTAGAATGACTACTCCAGCTTTCCTCTTGGGTCCATTTTCTTGGAAAACTCTTTTCCAGCCCTTTACTTTGAGGTAATGTCTATCTTCATTTCTGAGGTGTGATTCTTACGAGCAGCAGAATGCTGGATCCTGTTTTTTGCATCCATTCTGTTAGTCTGTGTCTTTTTATTGGGAAATTTATTCCACTGAGAGATACTGATGACCTTATTTTTGCTGGTATGGTATTACCTATTTCCTGTGCTTTCTTTTTTTGGAACTTTCCTTCTTGTATTTTCTGCAGGGCTGGATAGATATTGTTGAAATTTGAATTTATCATATTGCCCTGGGTTTTGTTGATTGTGTCCTTTAGAAGGCCTTTCGCCATCTGCATGGCTTTAGTCCCTGGATGTTTCTGTTGGAGTAGATATTGGGAGGGCCCAACCTCAATGATCCTGGTGTGGCTGGCCTCTGATGGGTATCCTTGGGCTGTATGGTTCTGGACCTGCAGGTCTGATGATGGTGGCCTGAGAGGTAGTGGGAGAATGGGAGTCCAGTGGAAATAGCAGGTGGCTCAGGGCAGCTGGGTATGCCTCAGATGACTCAGTGGACAGGGAAGATGGGTACCAGTGTGCTTTCAGACCAGTAGATCTAGTGAATGTGAGCAAGATCATAGAGTGAAGATTAAATTCTTAACTATTTAAATTTGAGGGAGACATTAGCTTAGAAAATCATTAAAACCCTACTTATTTTGACTATTACTCAAATAATGCGCAGTGTTATGCAAACTGTCCTATTTAGAATTTAACTATCTGTGCTGAAGAGGTGACTTAGCAGTTAAGAATGTTTGTTGTGCAATCATGGGGACTGAAGTTCAGATTTTAGCACCCATTCATCTCCAGCCCTGACTGGAGGTGAATACAAGAGGACTTCTTGGACTTATTAATTTCCAGAAGTACAGAGAAAAGCCTAAGCCCTGGGTTCAGGAAGGTACCTTACTTCAAAGGAATACATGGAGAGCAAAGATATACAAACCTTTTTTTGGCCACACACACACACACACACACTTTTAAATAAATAAGTAAATAAACAGGCAAACAAACAAATAAATAAATTGTAGAGGTTAACAACTTATCTTGACTTAAAACATCAGTGACGTTCTTATATGGCATGTTTTTAGTAGGTAGAGATTGGAATTACTTAACATACTAAGTATACTTATATACTTAATATTTATTAAATAACAAAGAATACAAATAGGAATAGTGATAAGAATATATATGTAAAAGACTAAAGAGATCAAGTACAGTACTATACCTCAAGGATTACATGGGTACACTTTAGTCAACCACAAAGATAAGAACAAAATATCTCCATAAGAAAAGTCCATCTGTAACTTCAGTTCAGTGTTGGTTTCAGGTTGGTTTCATTGGAGAGAGGGAGCTGGGAGAGTAGAAAAAAGATGAATATGTGTGTGGCATACATTCATGTGAGTGTGCATGCTGCTGGGTATGGTTTCATGTCTGCAGGTGAGCCTGCATGTATGTATACATGTATGGACACCAAAGGCTGACATAAAGGCTTTTTCTACATTATTCTCCATTCATTTACTGAAAAAAAGTCTCTTAGTGAACATGGAGCTGATCAACTCAGGTTCCCTAGTTAGCCAGGTTGCCCAGGGAACCTCTTGTCTCTACTTGCTGAACTGGCTGATTATAGCCAAGCCATCATGCTTGTCTGGCTTTTGTGTGAGTGATGGAGATCTAAATTTCAGCCTTTATGCTTTCACAAAGAGCACTTTATCCACTTGAGTCAGCTTCCCAGCCTGCTTATAGAATTGTTAAATGGGATTGGACATATAACTAGGATCAGCTGTGGCTCAGATTCTACTTTAAGCAGTAGGTACATGTAAAAAAAGAAAGTCATTGTATTTACATTAAATATTTAAATTAGCTACTTATGTTCTTGTGAACTTCCCCACTTTATTTTATTCTGTTCACATTTGAATATTCATACAGCCTCAGGTGTACAAAATAGCATGATTGGTTGGTAACTATGTGAACATTCCAAGAGGTATTATTGCTTGGACATTGAGACTCACCAAATACAAACAAGAACTTAATGAGAACTGCACTGGCATGGTGTTTCAATATCGTATAAGCACTTCAAAGTCTCCTGATTCTTGGATCATATGTCAGTGACAGAGGCAGAAGATAGGTTTGACTTTAAATGGCTGATACTTAGGCTCTTTTGTTACACAAAGTACCTTCTTTAGACCAGAGCAGTGAAGACCAAAGTTAGAATACTCAGCCATCTATGTGATCAGTTACTTTCTCTGCCCATACCCACTCCTGAAATAATACACTGACTGGTGTATCTTCTCATGTTTTATGATGATTTTCAGGGTTCATGTGGTAGAAAGTACTGACTTCCCAGTCATTTTGCTTTATGTGATATGTCTAAACAACATTTCAAAACTACCTCGGGTCTTAAAATAATTACTTTTACAATGATATTCCCTGCTTTCTTTATTTCTATTTTCTCCACTAGAAGACCTTAGATTTCTTTATGTGGGTTATAATCATTTTTATTAAAAATGACTACAGTTCCCTTTCTTCTGTATGGCATTTAGGGAGAAATTGGAAAAGAAATGTATATCATCAAGCATGGAGAAGTCCAAGTTCTTGGAGGCCCTGATGGTGCTCAAGTTCTGGTTACTCTGAAAGTTGGGGCAGTGTTCGGAGAAATAAGGTATCTGAAGGACACCTTGCTAATGTCTAAGCTCATTATTTTTCATAAAACAACAACCAGAGGTTATAAAATATATAAATTTCTACTCAAGCTATCAAATGTCTGATATTCTGCTGAGAGCATTGGAAAGTTAAGGATGTTTGCATTTCTTTCTCTTTTTTATCCTTTCATTCAAAAGAACTGAGAGCAAGTTGTTACGTTCTTTAGTACAAGAACCTCGGTCAGTACTTGGCTTATAACTGATGCTCAACATATGGTGAATTAACATGTACATTCCTAAATGAATAGAAAGAAGAAAGTGTTATCAAATTGTTAGAAAACTTTTGTTAGGCTAACAAACTGGATTTGAATAGGTCAGTAATGCCATCATAGTGACCCCGCTGCCTCAGTCTAAACCCCTAAAAACTAAATGTTGTATTTGTTCCTGACTTGACCCTATTCTTCTTCAGTTTCAACATCTTTTTTTGTTTGGTTGGGTTTTTTTTGTGTGTGTGTTTTTTATTTTTTTGGTTTTGTTTTATTTTGTTTTTGTTTTGTTTTTTCAAGACAGGGTTTCTCTGTGAAGTCCTGGCTGTCCTGTAACTCACTCTGTAGACCAGGCTGGCCTCGAACTCAGAAATCTGCCTGCCTCTGCCTCCCAAGTGGTGGGATTAAAGGTGTGCACCACCACTGCCCTGCCAGTTTCAACATCTTAATAATTAGCTACAATAGCGTGTATCAAAGAGGTTGGTAAATTAGCTTAATTTCTTTAAAATATTTTGTGTCTCTCATTTAATTTTTACTAAAGGAGTATCAACTATTGTTATCTTTATTTCCTACTGGTCAGAAGAATATAAGAACAGAAGAGAACAGAATAGAATGAATAGAATAGAGCAGTCTCCAAGAACAAGGATACAAGCAGCAAATTTAAATACCATATACACTAACATTTCCATGAATTATTGCATTTAAATTTATTAATTATTCGTCCAAAAGTATTTACTAAGTGCCTAGCACATGCTAGATTGTGGAGAATCCCTCAAAACTCTGGGAATGCACTCTAAAAAGAATAAACAAATTGTTGGCCTTCATAATGCCTATGGTAAACTAGGAAGAAACAGAATAGTTACACAATTAATGAACGGAGTAAGTTCACACTGTGATGTTATGAATGCGTAAGATTGTAAGAAACTGAAAAGGGATGCTACTGTAGATCCAGTAATTGAGGATGAGCACTCATTATAATATTTGCACTGAGCTTTAAGGCAGTAAAGAAATATGGAACTATTTAGAAATAGGCAATTCAATATTCCTCAGTTGAGAATTCTTTGTTTAGTTCTGAACCCCATTTTTAATAGGGTTATTTGATTCTCTGGGGTCTAACTTCTTGAATTCTTTGTATATATTGGATATTAGCCCTCTAACAGATATAGGATTGGTAAAGATCTTTTCCCAATCTGTTGGTTGCTGTTTTGTCCTATTGACAATGTCCTTTGCCTTACAGAAGCTTTGCAATTTTTTGAGGTCCTATTTGTCAATTCTTGATCTTAAAGTGTAAGCCATTGGTGTTCTGTTCAGGAATGTTTCCTCTGTGCCCATGTGTTCGAGACTCTTTGCCACTTTCTCTTCTATTAGTTTAAGTGTATCTGGTTTTATGTGGAGGTCCTTGATCCATTTGAACTTGAGCTTTGTACAGGGAGAAAAGAATGGATCAATTTGCATTCTTCTACACGCTGACCTCCAGTTGAACCAGCACCATTTGTTGAAAATGCTGTCTTTTTTCCACTGAATGATTTTAGCTCCTTTGTCAAAGATCAAGTGACCATGGGTGTGTGGGTTCATTTCTGGGCCTTCAATTCTATTCCACTGATCTTCTTGCCTGTCTCTGTACCAACACCATGCAGTTTTTAATCACTATTGCTCTGTAGTACAGATTGAGGTCAAGGATGGTGATTCCCCAAGAAGTTCTTTTGTTGTTGATAATAGTTTTTGATATCCTGGATTTTTTGTTATTTCAAATGAATTTGAGAATTTGTTCTTTCTAACTCTATGAAGAATTGAGTGGGAATTTTGATGGGGATTGCATTGAATCTGTATATTGCTTTTGGCAAGATGGCCATTTATACTATATTAATCCTGCCAATCCATGAGCATGGGAGATAGTATCATCTTCTGAGATCATCTTCAATTTCTTTCTTCAGAGACCTGAAGCTCTTGTTGTACAGATCTTTTACTTGCTTGGTTAGAGTCACCTAAGGTTTTTTATATTATTTGTGACTATTGTGAAGGGTGTCATTTCCTTAATTTTTTTCTCAGCCTGTTTATCCTTTGAGTAGAGGAAGGCTACTGATTTGTTTGAGTTAATTTTATATCCAGCCACTTTGCTGAAGTTGCTTTTTCAGGTTAAGTTCTCTGGTAGAATTTTTGGTGTCACTTAAGTATACTATCATATCATGTGCAAATAGGGATATTTTGACTTCTTCCAACTGCTCTGTTTTTAAATATCTTACTCCTTCTTAACAACTAGATAGGCACACCATTGACCTGTACTGGAGTAGTGGTAGAAAAATGCTTTTTAGAATGTCCAAGACCTGTATTCTTAGTCTGTTTCCTGTTATCTCCTTACGGGACGTGCTTTCAAAAGTAATTTAATATTTCTGTGATTTAATCATTTCTGTTATATCAAGACTATAAAATATACAACAAATCTAATCTGAAACGTTATAGAAATTAATTAGCTGACCTTCCCAAGGGCTTTATTCCCTGAAAATACAAGTCCATTGATTGCTGATATTATCATCACAGGAGGAAACAGCCTGAGAATAGAATGCAGGTGTTGCTGAGTTAACACTAAAGGGAACTCTGCACCCCTGACTTCAATACCTTAAGTAAATCCCCTCTTTCCTATTTGGGTTGAAACCTTAAGGCCTTCATTCTTAAAGCCTGCAACAGTCTCTCTAATTCAAGCAAAGAAGAGGTCTTTGCCTTAATTCACTTCTTGGCTGTAGCTGAGAAAAGAAAAAAGAAAAAAAGAGAGGATGTGTTTGCCTTTTCCAGATGCTCATGGACTTCACAGACCCACATCTGTCTCCCAGCCCTAGGCTCTAGTCATTTCTTCCAAATGGAGTCATGTCTGCCAAAGATTCAGACACTGGAAAGCTCTTGTAATAGTGTTTACTACTCAGAAATGCTGTGACCTTTGTTAAAATGAGCTAAATTTAGCACTGTCACGTAGCTTTTTACAGACTTCTTTTTACTTAGACGAAAACATAAGAAAGAAAATGGTGAAGAGGTTTCAAGGGCATTATATTTTAAAACAAATGTGCACAGCTAAAATATAGATGTACAGTCTATCATGGAGAAAACCAGACCACATTCCTATTAACATCCAGAAAGTACTAACACCTTATTCCAAAAAGAAGAAGAGGAGGAGGAAGAAGAGGAACAGGAGAAGGAGGAGGAGGAAGAGGAGGAGAGGCAGCAGTAGGAAGAGGGAGGAGAAGGGGAACAGGAGGAGGAGGAAAGCTTGAGGAGGTGAGGAGGAGGAAGAGCAGGAAGGGGAGGAGGAGAAAAATAAGGAGGAGCAGGAAAAGAAGGAGGAGCAGAAGGAGGAAAGAAGCAGGAGGAGGAGGGGCGGAGAAAGAAGAGGAAGAAGAAGAGAAGAGGAGGAAGTGGAGGAAAAGGGGGAGGAGGAGGAAGAGGAGGAGGAGGAAAAACCCAAGGCCTATTCTGACTCTATTCTTCTCACAAGTGCAGAAATTCATACTTCAAGAACTGATTCAAGTGTTATCTCTTTAAAGCCAACTTTTCACCACCCCATACAGATAGTAGCTCCTTGTTCTTTGCTACCATGGTATTTCATGCATTATATTACAACGATTACTACTAATTTATGCTTAATTTGTTTATTCAGGTTTTTCAAGAAACTGTATACAGTTTCAAGAAACTGTTTCTTGAAAAACAAAACTTTTTTACATTTTGTATAAAATGTAAAAATTAGCAGTTATTCATATCTACAACACCAACAACTACATGTAAATTATACAGTAATAATAGTTTTTATTTATATCCTGCCTGTATTAAAAATAATGACAGTTCCAACCAAGTGATTAAATGTTCAAGTTCAACTTTAAGACTATTCACAGGAGGGTATCGAATACAAAACAAGTACAACACAGGGCCAGTATGTCTTTCAGATCTGGCAAGTGTTTGAGGCTACACTTTGTGTTAACTAATACTTTAACAATGACAGAGGCAATTAACTTATAACAAGAAAAGGTTGGCTTAGGCTCACGGTTTGGGAGTTCTGTTGCATGATCAATTAGGCCTGTTGCTATTATTACCCCATGTTGAGAAAGTACAGCATATCAGGATCATGTGACAAAGCAACATTACTTACTTTGTGGCCAAGGTCAAAAGAAAAAAAAAAAACAGAGAAGCAAGAGGTTACATTTTGAAATCCCCCTCAAAACCACAGCCCTAATAACCTGAAGACATCTATCCTGCTGCATCCTAAAATTTCTACAGGACGCCCATAAAAGTGCTCTGAAAGTCAAGTCTTTCTTGTGTAGATTTCTGGGGGGCAGTTAGGATCCAAACTACCAAGGGCTGATGACAAAACTTTCACTACTCTTCAGCAGAATATGGAAACAATTATGTATACAATTGGTCAGTCATGAAGTTCCTTCTGTGGGGTAGAAAAAGGGCAATTACCTGGCAGTTATAGTGTGGTAAAGGGTAGCCTCCATAAGGCATGTCCATGTGCTAAATCTCAAAATCTTTGAGTATGTCCTTACTTGGAAAAGGTATCTTTGAAGATATCCTAGAGATGAGGAGCTTGCTGGGCACAGGGGTATACTATGTTAACCTCAGTATTTGAGAAACAAAGGGAGGAAGATCTTTATGAGTTCTTGTCTAGATAGTGAATTCCAGAATAGCTAGGGCTGTTTAATACAAAGACTCTTTTTGAAAAAAAAAGGAAGGAATGAAGAGAGAGAGAGAGAAGAGGGTGGAGGAGGAAG